AGCTGACTAAATAACTTAAATAACTTTGGAAAATGGTGCTTTGTCTAGATACTGTGAGGCTAAAGACAAAAAATACACAAAAATGACTGTATTTGATAAATTTGTTTCTCACAGGGTTATAAAATTTATAGATAAGGAGAGCCAAGTTTCTCACTGACAGAAAAGAAGCTATAAATAAGCAAAGGGCTTAAGGGTAGAAAGGATGGGAAGACTAGAGTGGCTATGTGATGTTGGACTATAATCAGAGATACCAATGTGAACCACGCTTATTTTAATACAGGTATATATACAGATATATAAATGATAAATGCATAAATAAGATAATTGTGTCCACATTTAATTAGTATATATACATATATTTCCTAGATCTTTCTGCTAAGAGTGCCTAGAAGCAGTGACACTCAGTAGCAACAAGCACAACTAGTGCCCACACCTTGGTTTCTAAATGCCTTCTCTGATAAAAGCAACTAGGGCTCCTTGAGACATGGTTAATTTTAGGGCTTCAGCAAGAAAAGTGAGCCTGAAGCAACTTTATGCCAGAAAGTAAGGAGAGTGCTAAAAAATACACAAAAAACAAACATTTCAAAAGATAGAGAGCCAATTTATTAATAAGAGCTCTCAACAGTGAAGGATAGAATGATTTGGGCAACAAATAAAAATAGTATTGGATTATAACCCAAAGAATAATAAATATCTGTAAGTCCATATACTAATATAAATGACTGAATAGTTTAAAAATGGGAAGAAGGGACATTAAATGTAGAAAAGTTCCTTACAGAAAGCTCCTATTAAACATAGAAGGAAGGAGGAAACATAAATGAATAGTAAAATGACGGGCAAACTCCAGGAGAAACAAGATGCTGCATAGCTTCAATACTGAATATCTTCCCTAATATATTTTTTCACTTATGGTGTTCATACACTCTTTGATTTCTTCCCTTGGAGGTGAAGTTACTTCTCTTCTCCTTAAATTTGAGAGACTTGTAACTCCTTCTATTGAGCAAATTAAAAAGGGAACAACATAATAATTCTATAGTGAAGAAAGTTGGCAGACAGATCCTCTGATATGATGGGATCAGGGTCCATTTCCACCTTGCTGATAGTCGTCTCCCTAAGTCTGGTAACTTTGTGTCTATCTATGGGCACAGGCATGACAAGGAAACTAAAATGAAGGGAAATCAGCATATCAAATACACTGGGATCTGGACTACTCCTCTGCAAAATGCAAGGTCATTGAAAGACAAAGAGAATCGGGATAAACGTAGGAGCATGATTAGGCAGGAGACAAGGGAAACTAACAGCATTCCAAGATTACAACTCGTGGGTATTAATCAAGCCACTTAGATTATGACCTCCATGTCCAAAAACAAAAGCTTCATATCCAAATCAGTAAACAAATATCCTATGAATATATTCTTAAATTAATCTGTAGTTTTTCATACATAACTGCATTACGACTATTCCAACATGATACTGTTGGAACATCATATATACAATCACTTAAATTACCTCTAATTTCATTAGCTATAAGTGTGCTTTATCTTTCTATTATTATGCAATTAACATTAGGGAGGCTGTGAGGAAATCAAGTACATCCGAACACACTCTGTACTATCTGCAACTCTTCTGTAAAACTGAAATCATTTGCAAATTAAAGTTTTAAAAAAAAGCAAAAAATTTTATATATCAGTGGTGTAAAGATAGTAGAACTTATAATTGAATGAACCATATACCACTGTCTTCTCTAATGATTCATTATCTCTTTATGTGATTCTGGCTATTTAAATTTGGTTTCGCTAGCAAGACACAATTAAGTAGAAATTGTCTGAAATTAATATTAGTGATTAAGAGACATTCACTTCCCGTTATATAATAATTAATATATGAATGCATGCAATGGCATATAATACACAAACTCGATCTAGATTCTCCAAATTATGTATTACTTCACAACGGTTGTTTTTGGTTCATTTGATGATGGTAGATAATAGTTAATAGAATATTTTTAATGGAAATAGTTTCTAAGAGAAAAAGATGAAGATCTCAATATATTATATGGCTCATCTTTGGTCTAGCTTGTCACTCTGTATCAAATAATAAATTAAGATCATACATCATCTTTCCTAAAATGTATCACTACACTGGAAAAGACATTCTGGGTTCCACTATTAAAGCAGCTACTAATTGCGCTGTGGAAAGAGAATTAGATGCTTTCTTTCATTCCTACAAGTTCCATATACTCCTTGGACATCACTCTCTCATCATGAGTGATTTAGCTTTTCTCCTGGTCCTTCACTAAAGTTATGTTGCGACTAAGGATCATATAGAAAGTTATTTCTGCAGGTGATAGCATGATATTCAAAATGTTAGGAAGTAAAAAAAAGCTTTGTAAAGTAAGATATGCATAAGAGGTCTGAATTCCTCACTTATATCTGCGATCGTATAAGGAAGATGACGTGTGCACAGTGGAATATCTATGAATGCGTGAGTTATTTCAATTACTTTAGCACATGGTCACATGAATTGCGATCACTCTCAAGAAACTTCTTCCCATATCTCCCAAAGTCCATAACAAGATTAACATGGGAATATAGCATGGAAAGATCATAACGGTTTGATGGCTGTAATTTAAGGTGTGTTATGTTATGAATACTAAATCTTGTGGGTGTACTCGTGCTGCATGTAATAATTACAATGTGACGAGGAATTAATAATGCTTCCTGCATAATAGGTGTCAATCGATAAAGGAATTGATTCCAAACTCATAAGCTATTTAATTTCTCAAATAATGTATATATTCCCTAAGAAGTTTACCTCTGTCTTAGTAGTATTAATTAGCTTTTATGTGACCTAAGTATCAGCAAGTTATGTCTACATACCGTTGAATGTCTTGATCTATTCTGTTTTCTCATGACCTCAAGAAATGGCAATTATGTTCTTATGGTGACTCTTTGTATATGTATTCATACCAATTTGCTACTAGATTTCAAAGCTTCTCATGTTCAATTATAAATTTTTGTTTAAGTACAATCTTCAATATTCATATTTTCTGTACTTGTTTAAGCGATTTCAGAAGTTTAGCTCTTTTCTTTCATGCAAGTGGACCAGAAAAATAATAGACCCATGAAAAATTCTGGATCTATTATTATGCTCTGTATTATAGGAATATAGATGGCTATAATGGATGAAGAGCCAAATAATCTGCTCAGGATATTCTGAACAATGCTATTCTCATGATAAAAAGCAAATCTGGTACTTCTGTCAGAAGTTCAGGATTTGGATTACAGGCTACTATCTTTGGGCTGTGCTCTGTTCCGTATTTGATTTAGAAAATTCAGTAGTACACCCATAATAAATTAAATTAGATAGTCAAACACCTAGCTGTATTTACTTTGAACATAAAAAAGATTATGAAATAATTAATAACTCTAAATCTGCCGGAATACTTGGTATAAGCTAAATGAGCCTAAGTTGGAATGAATACAATACAATTGAATGTTCTATATCTGAATGAGTATATGTGTCGGTGTCTCCATATAATGTAAATCATAGAAGTTTACAGTTACAAGAAAGTTCATCATGAGAGAGAGCAAGCTTTTACGTGTAGTGGTTTAAACGACTCCATTCGGTTTTGGGATCGAGTCACACAACAATGGATTTGAATCCTCTGAGAAATCTTAATCATGTATTAGGTGAAATATGATCAGTTGGTCATCTGCTTTTGGGCCTCAGTTTTCTCTTCTGTAAATGGGCTACAGTAAAGTATATATTAATTGCAACAGTTGCCACAAGAAGCAGCCCCCCCAGCAAACGATACATTAGCAGAATTCAAGAGTTACGACTATGTGTTTAATAATTTAAGAAGCAATTTCCCTTAGATAGAGAGTGGTGGCAAGCACCCATGTATCTTAGCCTGAGGATCATCGTCTCCCTGAGCAAGAGTGAGACCCCATCTCTACTAAAAATAGAGAACAAAAAAATTAGCTAGTCAACTAAAAATAGAAACAAAAAATTAGCTGGGCATCGTGGCTCGAGCCTGTAGTCCCAGCTACTTGGGAGGCTGAGGCAGGAGGATCATTTGAACCCAGGAATTTGAGGTTGCTGTGAGCTAGGCTGATGCCACAGCACTCACTCTAGCCCAGGCAACAAAGTGAGACTCTGTCTCCAAAAAAAATAAAAATGAAAAAAAGAAAAAGGATATATCAGTACTAATACAGCATCTGGAACTTTAATGTCTGCTTTTTAGTGTTTGAGATCTATTTTTTCGTTTAAAAAAATCAGGTAACTATTTGTGTAATGATTTTTTTTCTTAAATGCAAATTCACTAAGCCCTTATAGACAAGTTATTTATTGATCTTCCAAGGGATAGTCATGGCTCCTAATCTGAACACATTATCTGCTCTTGTGGTTGGTCAAATTGCTTGGCAAAAAACAATGATCCCATTGTGGCCATCTGATACAAGGCCTGGAAACATCTTTAAATAGAACTTTAAAAGGGATAATAAATGATGTGATGTTTTTCTTAAGAACTTGGTTTTAGCCAGACGTGGTGCCTCATACCTGTAATTCCAGCACTTTGGGAGTAGGAGTTCAAGAATAGCCTGGGCAATATAGTGAGACAAAAGGAAATTTTCTCTACAAAAAGAAATTTTTTTAATTAGCAGAGTGTGGCAGCATGTGCCTATAGTCCCATCTACTTGGGGGGCTAAGCCAGGAGGCTCACCTGAGCCCAGGAGTTGAAGGTTACAGTGAGCTATGAGCATGCCATTGTACTCCAGCCTGGGTGATATAGGGAGACCCTGTCTCTTGGGGGAAAAAAAAAAAAAGAACTTGGTTTTTGTTAAGGCCAGGCTAGTAAGTCTGTGGATTTATTTCATTATTTTATTTTCCCATAGAAATAACTTAAAGGGTTAGCATTCAAGAGGCCTAGGAAACTAAATAAAACTTATTTAATTGTGTTTTCAGGTTAGTCCCATTAAAAAATTATCCTTGCATTTCAGGTTATTTCTCGGCACACTCGGGAGCTACTGGGAATCGAAGAGCCATTATTCAATCGCAGCATCACACTTCCCTATAGGGATACTATTGGCTTATTCTTAGAGCAAAAAGGTCGTACTGGCATAAAATCTGACTCCTTGACCTTCCCCGAATTTGTCCAAGCAGCAGGATTACAAGATTATGATCCACAGATAACTGCCCCTGAAGAGAATGAGGCATTGCTTTGCACTGAATCCTAGGGGAAAGCCATTTCACTTAGCTTGAACGATCAAACTAAGTTACTTAAGGGAACAGGTGTGTTCTTTTTTGGTTTTTCCTTTTCTTCTTTTCATTAAGGATTAGCTTTAAAACTGCTGGCTTCATTCCTAGTTCTGTCTCTGACTCACAGCACCTTCCCTTTGTTTTTCAGTTTAAGTCCTCGTTAAAACAAAGGTAGCAATACTGATCTTTCTGGGTAATTGTAAGAATTGCTGATAAAGTCTAGTAGTGCACCTGGTAGCAGAAATATGTTGGGAAAATATAATTAAAAATAAAATCTCCTGCCAACCCAGATAATCCTCTCCACAAATGCAGGAAAGAAACCATTTTATTCTTGAATAAGCATTAAAATGTTTCCACATCTTTGCAAAAAAGAAAAAAGTATTAAAATGTGATGCACGTCACAGACAAGCTGCTAAAGAGATTACAAAGACAAATCCTACCCTTTTAGATAGGCAGACATATATTATCCTTTACATACATGTTAATTATCTGTATCCAAATGAAACATAAAACTTGTGTCTTGACAAAAAGCAGGAAATTACTACTTGTAGCCAGAAACCTAGGCTAAACTCCCACAGAGAAGGGGAGATAGGGCCCCTCCTCCTTGATGCTCACATTTCAAAGTGATGGCCCCAAGATCCCGCAAAAAGAGATAGTTCTGGGGTATAAAATGGCAAGAGGTTTATTCAGCTTTTTAAAAGATTAACATCTCAAAAGCACAGAAAAAGGATTTACAATGACAAGTTCTCTAAAGGAAGTGTTTTAAGAAAAAAGCACGGGAAAGTTCTCTTTCCCTTTTGGCATCATAGAAAAATTTTTAAAATTTTTCTTTAGATTTGTACATATCCTTACAAACAACATGGCTTATAAAAGTACCATTGAGGCCGAGCGCAGTGGCTCACACCTGTAATCCTAGCACTCTGGGAGGCCGAGGCAAGCAGATCGTTTGAGCTCAGGAGTTCAAGACCAGCCTGAGGAAGAGCGAGACCCTGTCTCTACTAAAAAAATAAAAAGAAATTAGCTGGACAACTAAAAAAAAAAATATATATATATACAATTAGCTGGGCATAGTGGCTCATGACTGTAGGCCCAGCTACTCGGGAGGCTGAGGCAGGAGGATCACTTGAGCCCACCAGTTTGAGGTTGCTGTGAACTAGGCTGATGCCACAGCACTCTAGCCAGGGCAATAGAGTGAGACTGTCTCAAAAAAAAAAAAAAAAAAAAAAAGTACCACTGATATGAAATAGAGTTGGGTTTGCCTACAAGGCTCTTAAAGGTGGTATCTTCCAGACCTTTATAAAATGAAATTTAGGCTAGAGTCTACCTATCCATGTCTGGACTTCTCAAGAGAAATTATAAAATACTTCTTGTTGCTTAAATGACTCCAGTTTCCCTCTAGTTTTACAGACTTAACTGTTTTTTCTTCTCCTGATCTCACTTCTTAATCCTAAAAACCACTGTAGGATTAACACAATCCAGAAGGGCAGCGATATACCTTGTCCAGTTCCCTACACCTGAAGAATGAGTAAAAGGAATGTTTCTTTTTTTTTCTGCTGATAAAAGGAAAAGTGCCTCAAATTAACATTCATGACAAGTGTTAATATTTGATAATGAACCTAACTTTTTCCCTAATTGTACTAAGATATTATTGGAAACCATTCTAACACTATACCATTGTATTTGCTTGGCTAATGATTATGCAAAAACCAAAATGTAAATGATTAAGACCATGATGATTTTCATGTATAGTGAATGGTTTTGTTCAAAAGCACTTTAGCATTTGGCAAACAGTGGTTTGGTGACAGAGCATAGTAAGCGACATCCTTTCCTAGCTTGATAGTGTCACTGCTCTTGTTTTTAGCTCCATTATAATGAACTAAAAGTATCTGTAGAACTTAGAGGAAATAATTGTGTACCATAGAAGAACTATATTTTGAAAAATTATTTTTAGCCATTTAACATAAATACTGGTTATTTTTTTAAAGTTTTATGGTTTTAAATGGTTTAAATGGGAACAGCTTTAAATAAGTTGGTACTAGAACTCTTACATAGCTGAAATAAGCATGAAATGAGTCATAATTCAATTAAGGTTATTTACCATACATTTACTTCTCTATCCAAAATTGTAGGAAAATCAAGCTGTATCATTTGCCAGCCACATACTGCTGGAAAATTGATTGGAGTTTGCCAATCAATTTGGAATATGATTGATTAGAAAAGAAGCTACATTATGTAATTGTCTAATAATGACATTAAAACTTCTTGAATTTAGCTTTTAGAAGAGAAATAATTTGTATTTCTGGGAAAGCAGCTTCCTTAAGTGTGTTAAGTTGTGTAGTTTCATTGGTTGCCTTTGACAGCCAGACACATATTGATATATAGGACCACTTATTTTATTCTCCAGTTTGAAAAGCCATCAGTACGGTTTTCTAATTCCTAGTGCCTAACATGTGGCAAACACAATACAATCACAACCCTACTGTCAATTATGATAATCAGGGCACAACCATTATAGAGAAAATCTGTGAGGGGAAAAAAATATCCTGATTTACTGAGTTCTTTTATTGGGATAGAGAGCCTGTAGAAACCACTGGCTGTTCTTTGGTCAGGGAGATGCCAAATAAATCACAGTATAGATACGTAAGGTGGCGTTGAAGAACAGTACTGGTTGAGAGACACTGGCTAAAGGGAGTTTTCTTGAGTTGCGCAATAGTCAGATCAAACCAAGGGAAAGACCTGGGGTGAAAAAAAAATACTGTTACTTTTTTATATCTGTTCAATATATCTGATTTGGCTGTTAAACACTTCCTTTAAAGAAAATATTCCTCTACTTGGAATACCAAACTAATTAAATTTAACAGTTAAACTAGAAATTCTGCTAGAACTATTCAATATGTAGATTTAATTGTATTAATACTTACAGTGATTTTTCACACATATATTTCTCTAAGTGCATTTGGAGAGAAATTTATAATTAGAGAACAATTATAATATTGACACTGACACCCTTTTTAGTATATTTTCTTTGAATTTAGAAAGAACATACATAAGAGGATCATGGACATTAAGCAAGGAAAAGATCTGATTGGTTTTAAGATATCCTCTTTAGCTGTATAGATAAAAATGTAGAAGTTAATGTGTAAACAAAATGGGGCGATACTGAGTATTAGTTTATAGTGTAATTTAAGTTTAAAAGCATTAAGACATGGGGTTTTTATATTTTTCAAAAGATCAGAAGAAATGGGCACACTTGTAGTCCCAGCTATTCAGGAAGCTGAGGTGGGAGGATCACCCACCAGGAGTTTGAGGCCAGCTGGGGCAACATAGCGAGACTGTTTCTCTTTAAAAAAAACAAAAAAAGATTAGGAGTAAGGCAAGGGTATCTGCTCTTACCATTCTTATTCAACATAGTACCTGAAGTTCCAGCCAGTGCAAAAAGGCAAGAAAAGGAAATTAAAAGGCATGCCGATTGGAAAGGAAGAAATGAAACTGTCTCTATTTATAGATGACATGATTATCCATATAGAAAATCCCAAGGAATCTATTAATAGTTTAAAAACCTTTAAGAACTAATGGATTTGGCAAGATTGCAGGATGCAAAATAAATATGCAAAAATTGATTGTGTTTATATGTATTAGCAATGAACATGACACCAAAATTAAAAACGAAATTTCATTTATAATCACTCCAGAAAAATGGAATACTTAGGTGTGAATCTAATAAAACATGTATAGGACTTACATGATGAAAACTATAAGATGCTGATGAAATAAAGAGGATCTAAATAAATGGAGATACATATTGTATTTATATTCATGGATAGGAAAAGTCAACAAAATTGACCTATAGAGATAATGGTAAAATAAAAATTCATGACAATACCATATTCTAGTGAGGATGCAGAGAAACTGGATCATACTTGCTATAATAATACTTTGTACTATTCTGAAAAACAATTTGGCAGTATCTTAAAAAATAAACATGAAACTACTATATGACTCGATAATTACGCTACAAAGCATTTATCCCACAGAAGCAAAAACTTAGGCTCACACAAAAATCTGTATATGAGTGTTCATAGATGTCTTACTCATATTACCCAAAAACTGGAAATAACCCAGATGTTCTTCAACAGGTGAATGGTTAAACACATTGTGATACAGCCATACCATGATACACTACTCAGTAATAAAAACAAACTGTTAATACAGCAACTTGGATGAATCTCTAGAGACTTATGTTGAAGGAAAAAAGTCAATCCCAAAAGGTTATATGCTATATTAGTCCATTTATATGACATTCTTAAAATGAAAAAATTGTAGGAATGAAGAACAGATTCGTAGTTACCAAGTTTTGTGGCAACATGAAGGATTCTTTGGTGAAAGAACAGTTTTTGAACTCCTGGCCTCAAGTGATCCTCCTGCCTCAGCCTCCCAGAGTGCTAGGAGTACAGTGTGAGTCACCACATCCAGCCATCACTTCCAGGATTCTGACTTAAACAACTTGGTGAAGCAGCATGTAATTAGATAAGAAACACTAGAAAAGCAGGTAGCTTTTGGGCATGTTGAGCTTGTGTGGAGATTGTGAGTGTGTACTTACCTAGATGCAGTATTGACATTTAGGCTAGAGATATAGAGTTACAAGCTGTCAGTGTAAAGATGGCAACCTAAGTCCCCAAATTGGAAAAGATCACCCAGGAACAAAGTATAGAATGAAATGAAGAAAAGGGTCTAGAATAGAGCCTGGAAAACTCCCAGATTTAAGGGTGAGGCAAAGGAGGAAGTCACAAAGGAGGGACCAGAGAGTCAGGAAGAAAATGAGGAGAATTTGAGGGAAGAGACTGCTTCAAGAAGGATGGCAGTTAAAGAAGAAAAGGAGTTTAAAGTGTGCAGTGACTCTGGGAGGCCAAGGTGGGAGGAATGCTTGAGCTCAAGAGTTCCAGACCAGCCTGAGCAAGAGTGAGACCCTGTCTCTACTAAAAATAGAAAAAATTAGCTGGGTGTGATGGCGTGCACCTGTATGTAGTCCCAGCTACTCAGGAGGCTGAGGCAGAAGGATTGCTTGAGCCCAGGAGTTTGAGGTTGCTATGAGCTTTTATGACTCCATGGCACGCTAGCCCAGGCAACAAAGTGAGACTCTATCTCAAAATAAATAAATAAATAAATAAATAAAGTATGCAGTGAATCTAATGACATGGTAGTCACTGGTAACATGAGCAACAATCTCTGCATATCAGATTATCAGATATTTTAAAAATTGATTTTATAATTATCAAGCTATAGAGAACTGGCAGCCTCATATATTCTTGGTAGAAATTAAGCGAGCACCACATATTTGCTAAGCAATATAGGAATACCTATCAAACATAAAATATACATAACCTTAGACCCAGAAATTCTTTCATGTATTTATTCAACAGAAATATTGGTGCAAATGTGCAAAGTCAGTACAAGAACATTCAAAGCAGCCCTTAATGCAAAATTTGGGACAAAGGGAAGGAACCACATCTCTATCAAGTGGAAACAGAGTGAAGAAATTTAATTAAAGAAATGTGTCCTGTCCAGTGGATGCCTATGCACTTACTTATAAATGAAGTAGCTATGATTGTACTAATATAGAATGGTATCTGTGATGTAGTAAGCAAAAAAGCAGTGTGCATAGTTCCCATGTTTCTAACACTGTGCATATAGGAATAGATAGGCATCCATGTTATGATATAATGACAATGTAATATGTTTGTAAATACATAGATAAAAAGACAAAAATGTAAAAACCATTAGAGGTAAAATCTATAAAATAGGATTTGGGAGGCAAAGGAGGACTTTTACTTTTCTACTCGTTGAATTTTTTACAAAATTGTGTTATTTTTACCAATAAAAAATCTGAGGCCGGGTGCTGTGGCTCACACCTGTAATCCTAGCTCTTGGGAGGCCGAGGCGGGCGGATTGCTCGAGGTCAGGAGTTCAAAACCAGCCTGAGCAAGAGCGAGACCCCATCTCTACTATAAATAGAAACAAATTAATTGGCCAACTGATATATATATAAAAAAAAAATTAGCCGGGCATGGTGGCGCATGCCTGTAGTCCCAGCTACTTGGGAGGCTGAGGCAGAAGGATCACTCGAGCCCAGGAGTTTGAGGTTGCTGTGAGCTAGGCTGATGCCACGGCACTCACTCTAGCCTGGACAACAAAGCGAGACTCTGTCTCAAAAAAAAAAAAAAAAAAAGAATCTGAAAGGATAAAAGAAAAAAGTATCTGCTAAGACAAGAATGTGGGAGAAATTAGAATGGCCAGCTGTCTGACACCTTACCTGTTCCGAGACAAGCTCTTGACATAGATTTTGTTGACAAAATCTGTTGGCTGAAACTTTGGGCAAGATGCTGTGTTTTTCTTACAGTATTTGAAATGCACAGAGAGAAACAGTTCATTCAGAAGCAGCAGTGCTTGTGGGTTGGCCAACTTTCTTGCCGTGCACATGTTTAGGGCTGCATAGCACACTCCTTCCAACCACTTCATATTGAGGGTTATTCCCCCTACACATCAATGAGAAGGTAAATACCAGTTAGCACCACCAAAAGTGAGTTGCAGGGAACCTAGAACAAACTCCAGTGAATAGCCACCTTTTTTTTTTTCTAAGACAGGTTGGTATTAATAATATGAACCATGAGGTAAGCAAATACTCCCCCTTTGTAGGCCAAGAGTCCTATTTCTGCCATTTATTTATTTATTTATTTAGAGACTGAGTCTTGCTTTGTTGTCCAGGCTAGAGTCAGTGCCGTGGCGTCAACCTAGCTCACAGCATCCTCAAACTCCTGGGCTCAAGCAATCCTCCTGCGTTAGCCTCCCGAGTAGCTGGGACTACAGACATGCACCAGCTCAGCTAATTTTTTCTATATATATTAGTTGGCCAATTAATTTCTTTCTATTTATAGAGACGGGGGTCTCACTCTTGCTCAGGCTGGTTTCGAACTCCTGACCTCAAGCAATCCGCCCGCCTCCCAGAGTGCTAGGATTACAGGCGTGAGCCACCGCGCCCGGCCTATTTCTGCCCTTTATAACACAGGTTTTGACCATCCCAAAGGAGGACAGATACAAATAATGTAGACATTGCTAATGGCAAAAGTGTCTTTAGAATGGTTGTTGATAAGGAACGCCCATCAACAACCTTTGGGGGGGGGGCGGGCGGACTGCAAGATTAGAACAGAGAAAACCCATTTTAGTCCCAGACATTGCATCCTCCTGTTTGTTTGTTTGTTTGTTTGTTTTTAAGACAGAGTCTCACTCTGTTGCCTGGCTAGAGTGCCGTGGCATCAGCCTAGCTCACAGCAACCTCAAACTCCTGGGCTCAAGCACTCCTTCTGCCTCAGTTTTCCAAGTAGCTGGAACTACAGACATGCACCACCTTGCCCGGCTAATTTTCTATATATTTTTAGCTAATTTCTTTCTTTTTTTAGTAGAGATGGAGTTTCGCTCTTGCTCAGGCTGGTCTTGAACTCCTGACCTTGAGTGATCCTCCCGCCTCGGCCTCCCTGAGTGGTAGGATTACAGGCGTGAGTCACCACACCCAGCCACATCCTCCTGTTTAAATAAGCTATCTTTGGTTGTTTCTAGTTTGTCTTTAAAAGGTCTAAATAATCAAGCTTCTCAGCTCTCCCTAATAAAGGCTGATTTTTGCCACCCAAACACTGTTCCAATACAAAATCTAAAATAACTGAGAATATATCTAGGTGTCTCCCTCCCATCCCCAATACAGACTGGGATTTAATAAGATAGCAACAGGCCACAGGAAAGGTAATTTTCAAAAGAATGTCAGAAATATGCTGACCCATTACCAGCAGGAATGTAGGGGCAGGTAGCCTCAAGAATCACAGGATCTTGGAGAGCAGCTGCAACTTCCTTATTGGCCCCCCAGATGTTGACATAGTCTTCAACACACTCATACTGAGGTCGCAAGATATTGGTGTGATTCAGTAGTAGTTTCAACCTGGAAGTAAAGCTGCTAAGACAGGGAATACATTGCTAGGACTAGAGTGAGCTACATAATCCATTGTATTCACATCCAACTCCAGCAACAGACTCCCCTGCACGGCACTGCTCAGAGGCAAATGCAGGTCTGGGTCTGTGGTGAGGGCACTAATTAAATTAGTTGGCTTGTTCCAGCCACCTAACAAATACTTATTAACTGTTATCATGTGGTAGGCATGGGGCTAGATACTAGGGGTACGGAAATAATATTTGACACATAACTTTTAGCAACTTTTCATGTTGTTGACTAGTGGTTTTCCTATACTATTCAGTATTGAAGTAGTGGGAGGCAATGTTCTATTGTAGTTCTAAACATTTGTACAGCTAAGAAAATGTCCAACCCACAAGTGCCGTTTGTGGGTAAGTGAGGAAGATACAATTAGAAAGGAAAGGTCAGCTGAGTCCTTCTACACATAAAGCTGCTTCCTCCTTACTACTGGGAATAACCAACTCCAAGAGTTAGGGGCTACAGTGGAGGTAGGAGGCAGAAGTTGAGATGAATAGACAGAGCAGTTCTGCCAGTTCTGTTCTTACCCTAACAGGATACCTGGGCAGTGGGACGGCAGCTACAAAGCTGTACACAACGCAGGTCTTCTCAAGGCTGGTTTGAATTTCTAAGCAGATATGGGACAGCTGAGATGGCAAACAGCAGAGGAATATCACGTTGGCCCAACTCGCGAGATTAGAGTTATGGTAAAAGCACTGGATCCCCAGTTTCTGGAACTCCTCTGCAAAGGATAAAGGAGGACAGAAAGCACAGTACAAAGGAGATTGACCTGAACATCAACTATGGGGAGATTTATCTTGGTAAATCAACCCAAGGCTTGTTGCTACACAAATCAAAGGAAAATCCCACATCCTTTTTTTTTTTTGAGATGTGATCTCATTTTGTTGCCTGGGCTAAAACACAAAGTCATCATAGCTCACTGCAACCTCAAACTCCTGGGCTCAAGAGATCCTCCTGCCTCAGCCTCCCAAGAAGCTGGGACTACAGGTGTGTGCCATCACACTCAGCTAATTTTTCTATTTTTTTTTTTTTTTTAGAGATGGGGTCTTGCTGTGTTGCCCAGGCTGGTCTCAAACTCCTCGGCTCAAGTGATTCTGTGGCCTTGTTCTCCCAAAGTGCTAGTATTGCAGGCATGAGCCACTACACCCAGCTTATTCCCATTTTATAGATGAGGAAAGTGAGGCTTCAAGAAGCTACATGGCTTACCCAAAGTTATTTAGCTCACTGGCTTGAATTGGTGGAAAAGACTAGGAGAATGGAAGAATATAGAGCAGAGACTAGGAGGAGTCTGGAAATATTTAACAATTTCTGTAAAATATATATAACTTAATGTTAATAGAATATATATATAAATGGAGAGAGAAATGTGATAACTCACATAGTTGCATAAAAACACTCACTGGTAGTTAATCATTTGATGGTACTTACTGCAACATGGATTTTCAAAAGTAAGAATTTAAAATGTACACTCACATCTGGTGTTATGTTTTAAGTGTTATTGGAAAACAGAATATGACAGACATTGGAGAGATGAATTCTTATCTTAACCATCAAGAGTACATGACTGAGCGCTGTGGCTCATGCCTGTAATCCTAGCACTCTGGGAGGCCGAGGTGGGCAGATCGTCTGAGCTCAGGATCAGGAGTTCGAGACCAGACTGAGCAAGAGCGAGACCCCATCTCTACCAAAAATAGAAAGAAGTTAATTGGACAGCTAAAAATATATAGAAAAAAATGAGTTGGGCATGGTGGTGCATGCTTGTGGTCCCAGCTACTCGGGGGGCTGAGGCAGAAGGATTGCTTGAGCCCAGGAGTTTGAGGTTGCTGTGAGCTAGGCTGATGCCATGGCACTCTAGCCTGGGCAACAAAATGAGACTCTATCTCAGAAAAAAAAAAAGAGTACATGACAAGTGTGAAGCTGAAGTTACCTGGATACTCATAAACCTGAAAGATGGATAGGACAAAGACAAAATTTAGAGAACAGGATGTCTATCATTCTTTCACATGTTGTTCTCGTTCTTTTCACGTGCACAGAAGCTGATGCTGAGCATTCTGAATTCTTGTTTCCCTACACAACATGTAGTGACATTTTAAAACTATAATTTTATTACTGATAAACATATTGCTTCCCAAAGAATATATGTACTTTATTGAAATATCATATATAATAGTCCTGTTGATGGGATCAAAAAATATGCTTTGAGTAGTAATATGTTTTCTAAGTTTACTAAATATAGAAAGAACCCTTACAAATCAGTAAGAAAGAATACAGGCACTCCGACAGAAAAAAATGGACAAAAGCAACTCAAAAAAAGATGAAATAGCAATAAACCTATAAAAAACATTCAATTTTTCTAGTGATCAATGAAAGACATAATTAGAACAAGAAAAAATTTTAAAGCATATTAAAATAGTGATGTTAAGAATAATTCCCAGCACTGACAAGGGTGTAGTGAAATCGGAGTTCTTCTTTTTTTTTTTTTTTTTTGAGACAAGGTCTTACTCTAGGCAGAGTGCAGTGGCACAATCACAGCTCACTGCAGCCTCCAACTCCTGGGTTCAAGTGATCTTCCCACCTTAGCCTTCCAAGTAGCTAGGATTACAGACATGTACCACCACACCTGGCTAATTTTTCTATTTTTTTGTAGAGAAAGGGTCTTGCTATGTTGCCTAGACTGGTCTTGAACTCCTGGCCTCATGCGATCAACCTAGCTCAGTCTTCCAAAGTGCTAAGTGCTAGGATTACAAGCATGAGCCACTATGCCTGGCCTATGAGAAGTTTCTTTAAAAATCAAACATATATCTACCACATTACCCAGTCATTTCACTGCTAGATATATACCCAAGAAAAATGAAAGCAGTTGCCCACGTGAATACTTCCATAAAATATTCATAGCAGCTTTATTTGTCATAGTCAAAAGCTGGAAACAACCTGAATCAACAGGTAAATAAACTGTTGAATAATCATGCAATGAAACACTACTCAGAAATAAAAAGGATATTGATACATTAAACAACTTGAATATATCTCAGGCTAATTATGCAGAGTGAAAAGCTAAAAGAAGTGCAAATTGTATGACACTGTTTATAGAAAATTCTAGAAAATGCAAACTATCTATGGTGACAGAAATCAGATCATTGGTTTCCTGGGTAGAGGGCTGCATTGAGGTAGAGAAATAGGTATTACCAAGGGCAAGAAGCAACTTTTGGGAGTGATGGATATGTTCCTTACCCTGATTGTAGTGATAGTTTCACAGGTATACACATGTCAAAACATCAAATTCTATACTTTATGTCCCAATTTATTATATACAAATAATATTTTAATAAAGCTGTACTATTCTTTGACCCAGTAATTTTATTTTGAAAATTATGTACAAGGAACTTCAATTAAATAGGGCATAGTTATATAAATTATGGTACGTCTATACTTTGGAATACTATACAACCTTAATATCATTTTTTTACATTAAAATTAATCTTTTACTGATATAATTTTAAATTGTGAGAAGAAAACAGAGAAAGAGAGAAAGGGAGAGTGCTACTGGGTGTCTGCAGCTCCTAGCCACCAGCTGGGCACATGCTGCTCAGTCTGCAAGCCCAGATACCAGGCGCAGGCGCACACCCCTTCTAGGGAGCTGAAGGGGAGTGCTCTCAAAGCCCGCTGGGGTCACAGTATGCCTGTGAGACAATGGAAGGGCTTTAAAATCATTATTTTGAAGAATGTTAAATGATATATGTGAATCTGCTCATGATATGTTAAGTGAAAAAAGCAGAATACAAATAATTTTGTATAGTAACAATTACTGATATGAGAGGAAAAACTGGGAAGGAAATAGTTATATTCTTCCTTATAAAGTAATTTTCTAAATTTTCAACAATAGGCATTATATTATTTTACATTTTTATTATTGAAGTATAATTTATATACAGTGCAACACACAGATCTGAAGTGTGTAGTTTAATCAGTTTTGACAAACACATACTGCCATGTAACCGATACTTCTCTTAAGATATAGAACATTTCCATCTCCCCAGAAAGTTCTTTCAGGACTTTCTCAGTCTATCTCCCCAGAAGCAATCATTGTTCTGATTTCTATCACCATGGATTATTAAATGGAATCATTGTAAAACATTTTTTAAATGCAGTAAGTGTTCTTTTTAAAAATATAAGGCCAAATGCAAATATTTGGACTCTAACTGGTGCAGTTATAAGATCTGAACTCTGCATGGAAAGCTTCCCTGTATCAAAGACCCAAAAAGATAATTTACCACCAAGGGCAGAGAGAGGAGACATGGATATAAAACATATAAGTACAGATGAAAAGTTGTTTCCAGGAACAAACTAGAAAGCTATCTTTCTAGCTTTTCTTAAGGCTAGCAAGCTGAGAACTCAGCATGCTGTATACCAGGATTGCTCTTTAAAGGCATCCTTTCAAGATGACTTCATCAACACCTAAACAGCACAGCCCCCTTTCCGCCACACACTGCTCCTCACCCAGGGCCTCTGGCCTCCTAGTGGAGATCCGCAGGCTCTCAGCAGGGATGGGGACAAGCTGCAGTAGTGTGAGAGCCAGCTGCTTCCCAAGGTGGCCACCTCCAATGATGCCCACCTTTAACTTGTTATTGTCAGGAGTGGTTAAATGAAGTGATCCAACTGAGCGATATCTGGAACTTTGTTTCTCATGTAATAATTTTCTGGAGAATGAACAGGTACATACATAAATACATGTACACATTATAGCTCTTCTTAACTGTTAGCCTCTGGCGTTTTCTGCTTTAACTTTCTCACACAGAAGCCTGTTGGCACCTAAAATACTTCAGAAAGGAGGCACTTTAATTGCATGCCATTTATCCAGCCTTGCTAGGGAATGAAATGTTCCTCCTGAGTGAATTTTCCAAAAACAAAAGGATAACCCTTCCTTGCTGTGTCTGTGTCCTGGTTTCTAAAAGAAAAAGAAAAAGGAAAAATAATTTTTAAGTGTTTAAATTATTAAAAAAAAAAAAAAAAGGATGACCCTTTTCAAGGGACCAAATTTGTTTAAAGCATTTAAAAAAATCTTGAAGGTTTTTTTTTTTTTTTTGGCAGAGTCACTCTGTCACCCTGGGTAGAGTACAATGGCGCATGATCATAACTCACTGCAACCTCAAATTCCTGGGCTCAATTGATCCTTCTGCCTCAGCCTCCTGAGTATCTGGGACTGCAGGCCCCTGCCATCACACAGGCTAATTTTTTTCTATTTTCAGTAGAGACAGGGTCTTGCTGTTATTGGATGGTCTTGAACCCCTGATGTTAAGCAATCCTCCCACCTTCGCCAACCAGAGTGCTAGGATTACAGGTGTGAGCCACTGCGCCCAGCCAACATTTTAAAATTTTTGTTGCATGTATTATGCATTTCCCTGCCTTCTTAAACACAAGGTCTGAATATTTAATCATTTTGTTGACTCAAAACCATAATTTATGAACAGCCACTCTTACACATTTTACTGTAATGTATAACACACTGTGAACCAGTTCTCTTTTTTTTTTGAGACAGTCTCACTCTGTTGCCTGGGCTAGAGTGCCATGGCATCAGCCTAGATCACAGCAACCTCAAACTCCTGGGCTCAAACAATCCTTCTGCCTCAGCCTCCCAAGTAGCTGGGACTACAGGCATGTGCCACCATGCCCAGCTAATTTTTTCTATTTTTGGTAGAGACGGGGTCTCATTCTTGTTCAGGCTGGTCTCAAATTCCTGAGCTCAAACGATATGCCCACCTCGGCCTCTCAGAGTGCTATGATTACAGGCGTGAGCCACGACGCCAGGTCCCTCGTTTTTTGTTTGTTTTCTGTGAAGACATCTGTCAGTTTTTTCTTATGGTAAACAACCATAAAATTTATCATCTAAAACATTTTTAAGTGTACACTACAGTGGGGTTAACTGTATGCACATTGTTGTGCAACAGATCTCTAAAACCATTTCATCTTGCAAAAATGAAACTCTATACCCATTGAACAATTCCTCTTTTATCTTTCACCCAGCCCCTAGGAACTATCATTCTACTTTCTGTTTGGCAACATTAGATCCCCTATATAAGTGGAATCATGCAGTATTTGTCTTTTTTGGGGGGAAACAGAGTCTCGCTTTGTTGCCCAGGCTAGAGTGAGTGCCATGACGTCAGCCTAGCTCACAGCAACCTTAAACTCCTGGGTTCAAGCGATCCTTCTGCCTCAGCCTCCCCAGTAGCTGGGACTACAGGCATGCACCACCATGCCCGGCTAATTTTTTCTATATATATATTTTTAGTTGGTCAATTCATTTCTTTCTATTTTTAGTAGAGACGGGGTCTCACTCAGGCTGGTTTTGAACTCCTGACCTCGAGCAATCCGCCCGCCTCAGCTTCCCAGAGTGCTAGGATTACAGGCGAGAGCCACCACGCCTGGCCTATTTTCTTTTGTGTATCTTTGATTGGTATTTTCTTTGTTACCATAGGAAATTACATAAAAATCTGATAGTTATAACAACCTATTTTAAACTGATAATAGCTTAACTCCAGTCACATGCAAAAACTCTTATGTCTTTATCTTCCCCCACCCCTGGTTTTTGTTATTGATCTCACAAATTATATCTTTTATATTTTATATCCATTAACATAGTTTTATAGTAATACCATGTTTCCCTGAAAATAAGACAAAATTTTATATTTATTTTCCTCAAGAAGACACCCTAGGCTTATTTTCAGGGAATGTGTTATTTTTTTAAGTATGGTACAACAATCTACATTTATTCAAATATAGTTGTCTTCTTCTGGAACATCATGGTAACACTCCAATCCCCAAATTCCATCCTGAATTTCTTGCAACTCTATTTCTTTTAGAACCATTGGCCCCAATCTCTCATGTCGAGCAATAGAGCTCTCATGGGGCAGATAAGAAGGTCTGCTCATCTTTACCTGCGATGAAATGCATGGGTTGTGCAGATACACTGTGTAGCCACACCCATCACTAGGTCTTATTTTTGGCGTAGGGGTTATATTGCACAAATGCTTAGAAATCCTGCTAGGGCTTATTTTATGGATAGGTCTTATTTTGGGGGGACATAAGACCTTTTTTCAGGGAAACACGGTAGTTACTTTTTAAGCTTTTATCTTTTAAATTCTACACCAGCATTAAAAATTATTATGTACCATCCTTTACAATATTACAGTACTATGTATATGCCTATATGTTCATCTGAACCAAAAAGCCTTACAATTTTGTATACTTTTGTGTTGCTGTCTAGTAATTTTTCATTTCAACTTAAGGACTCCCATTAGCATTTCTTTTTTTTTTTTTTTTTTTCTCAGACAGAGTCTCACTCTGTTGCCCTGGGTAGAGTGTTGTGGCATCAGCCTAGCTCACGTGAATATCTTGCTTCAGAATACAATCCCCGGATGTTGGTTTTGTGATTTCCATCTTTCAATGGTGGATATAATTCCTTTTGTATAGGTTGTAGTTGGAGGTTTATTAGATAATTATGTGGTTTCTTGGAAGTATTCGTTGCATATGTTTCTCTGTACTCTCTCGGATGTCTAGGTGTATGTAGGTGTCAATTTGTTGTGTCTTTTAATTATCAGGGTATTAGTTTTGATTTCTTGTCTATGGTTCTTATGTATTTATAATTGCTGTTCTTTCTCGAGGTGGGTCTAGCTTTACTTTAGCAGGAGTAGTCCTAGCCTTCATTAAGTCTTAGTTCCTTAGAGGGATAAATATTCTGGGGCTGTTGTTCTTATAGTTTAAGTTGTTATTGGTTGAGATCTTTACTTTTACTTTAAAAGTAGGCTTACCCTTGATAAAGTCTGTTTGGCTCTTGTACTGCTATTTGCTGCATATAGTATTTTTAGGCATATGTTGATATTTTCATTTAATGTTGTCTGCAATGAGCTTGTCTTTTATACATTATTTTCTTGTATTTCCTTTTATTGTCCAATTGCTGTATTAAGTGTTATTCCAGATTTGTCATTTCAATTTTTTTTGATATCCATTTCTAATCATTTATGGGAGTGTGTGGTGATAAGAAACTTCTTGTAGTGTGGATAGCTATGATCTTTGTTTGTTATAGGCTTGTTTTGTGTGTCCTGTAAACATCGTGATTATTAGAGAATGTTCCATGTTGAGCGTGAAGAGAGAAAAGTGCCTATCATTCCTGAATTGGGGAAGTTGGGTGGAGTAATCTGTGTCGTTAGGTGTGAAAGGGGGAGGTCTATGTGCTTTTTCAAGTCCTCTGGTTTCCTTATTGACCTTCGTTGACTGTATGTCTTATTTGTTATTATTCAAAATGGGCGATATAAAATTTCTATCTTGTCACTTATTGTGTACCTAACATTTATAAATATTTGTTAATATTTTTTGGCTGCTCTTGAGGTTAAGTACATATATAATTGTTATATCTTCCGGTGAATTGATCTTTTTATATCTATATGATGTCTCTTTGTCCTCAAGACACTTTTTGACTAGTCTTTCTGTAGTGGATGCAGTGTGGCAACCCTTTCTTTCGGTTACCATTTGCATGGAATGATCTTTTCTATTTTCTCACTTCAGTCTATGTGTGTCGCTTAGTATCTAAAGTGAGTACTGTGGGACGCATATAGGTTGGATTCGTTTTATTTTTTTAATCCATCAGCCACTCTGTGTCTTTTGCATTGAGGAGTTTAAGTCCATTTAAATTTAAGTAATGATGATTATGAAAACGTACATACTTGCTATTTTCGTTAATTTTTTTTACTATGTTCTTGTAGCTTATTTTTGCGTTCTCTGTTGCCGCCTTCCTTTGTGTTTCACTGATTCTCTTTGTAGATGATATGCTTATTCACTTTTTTTTTTTTTTTTTTAATTTTTTTGAGACAGGTCTCCATGTTGATCAGTTGTTGTTTCTTTTCTTTAGGTTTTTGTTTGGGTATTCACACGCCTTGTTTAGTTTCGGAGCCAGTAGGTGGTGTCTGTGGGTGACATTCGACCACTCCCTGTATAATGAGTCAGTAGGTGTCGTGGAAAGGGTGTGCAGGATGCTCTTCCTCTCAGTAGGTGGCGCTTGCTTGGAGGAACAGGCTAAGCTGTTGTTTTTATTTCCTGTTATCAGCTCTTATTCACGTAGAGAGATCTCTAGTGACTCAGGTGGTGGGTGGGCCCTGGGACTTCCAGGTGTATCCATTTCTCTAGTCTAGGAGAGAGTCTGGGCGGAGCTGGGTTGGGTAAGCCTGCCCTCAGGCACCAGCAATGTCCTTAGCAGGGGTCAAAGTTCTGTTCTCTGCTTCCAGGCAAAGCTGACAGGGAGAGGCTGGAATGGCCCGGCTCAGTTAGAGAGTCTGCGTGTGGCGGTGGGGCTGTCTGAGACCCGCAGTCTGGAGCAGGCCTGGCTTCTTTCCACTGTCCCCAACTCCGCAGCTACTCCTGGGCCTCTGCCAGCAGGCCAGACCACAAGCCTCCCCTGGCTGTGCTGCCGGCGAGGAGGTTCCCTGTGCAGGAATGCCACCTGGGCTGGGCGCAAGGCCTCCCTTTGCAGGGAGGGTTGCCCTCTAGGACGCTGATCTGCCCTGAAGGCACACACACCTCAGTAGGCAGTTCACAAATATCCCTTCTGTGCCCCAGGCAATGCAAGGCCTCGGTGCACGGGATGTGGTCTGCAGGTCTGACCTCTGGGTCCCAGAGTTCAAACTATATCCCCACCAGGGAGAGCAGT